AATGGATGTGGACGTGGCAATAGACGAAATTATAGTTATCATCATTATGGTAATGAGAACAATAAGGATTTTCAAAATAATCCTTCACTCTGTGAAAGTATTATTTGTCATCGATTTGACATGAGATTTTATAAAGCACATATAGATGATTATTGTCCATTCATGATGTGAATGTGACAACATCTAATTTATGAATACATATTCATTCTTGGAAGAATATGAACGTGCTAGTGGTAGTGAATATACCACACTCACCTCTAGAGGGAGGTTTGACAGGAAATAAGAAAATAATGTCATTATTATAGCATAAATGGTCGTTAATCACGTACTTGTTGTACGCCAAAATATTTTGGCAATGTAATTATTAAAAGACAACGGTAATGCAAGAAACAGATCTTGCATATAATTTTGACCATAACCATAATGGTATAACTTTCTCTTTAAAAGAAATATTCACCATATGGATGTTGATGAATATGTGGTAGTACCAAATTAATTGAGAGCTCTGGAAGAGTCGATTCTTACTATTTTGGAGAAACACAATTGATTACCAATAAGGTATTGTGTTGTAGTAAATCTCAAAGAAACTTATTCAGTTTCCAAAGTACACGCGAAAGCGGTTGATTATATTGAGACTATAAATAAATGAAAGATTTAATATCTTTTATTACTACAACTTGTAGCGGGATAATATGTATGTGAAAAGCTACCCGCTTTATTCTCCAGTTTGTACTACACAAATAAAAGAACACCACACTAAAGTGGATGTTTACTGATATAAAAACCCATATCATAATTAACTTGGTGTTTATTGATAATTGCACACGTCATGCTGTAAACCTGAACTTATCAATATTGATAATTTATTCAGTTGGCATAATCAGTTTAGCCATATCAATTTAAGTATGATGTGCAAAAATAATAGAGAATTCACATGGGTAAATATTAAAGAACTAGAAAGTTCTTTACGAATTCTCTTATATTGCTTGTTCTCATTAATTAATTGACCAACTAAAATTGGGATTGAATCCCATGAATGCTGAAAATATCAAAGGTGAATATGGGCCCATTCACCTGCCATGTATACCACATAAGATGCATCTATGAGATGGTTACATGTGCGATTATTATTAACCCGCAACCTGGTGTTTGCGAGATAATTTGTTCAATAATTTAATTTAGAGCATAATTTCCAGATTTTCTATCCAAGATAATTTATCTTGATAAGTTAGGTTACATCACAGTTGGCTTAGCAAAATGATTTATTGAATGCCTCCACTTAATAGCTAAAATATTGCTTATGAGAATGAAGTTATCTATATCAGTTTGATATATGTTATATATGAAAATATATTATATTCTCCCCTCACAAGTGGTTCGGGGTCAGGAACCAAATAATTCCATCTTATCATTATTGATGTGCAGTGTATATTGATTAACATCATAACGCACAAAGATGGGTTCTCAAAGTTGAGGAAACAAGTTAGTTTTTCTAACATGAGGGGGAGACATGATAAACAGTTAAGAAAAAGTTACGTGGAATGAATTATCATGTGTATATCTAGATCCTCGAATAAAATAATATGAACTTGAAGTTCATAAAAGGATAATTCATTTGCAATATATTGCAAAGCATGCCAGACGCATTTGCTTACCCAAAGAAAGTAACTATATTCTCATTGCAAATGTTCATATTAAGTCCTAGAAGGACAAAGTCTATGGTACACTTAAAGCGTATAGACAAATCGGTTTCAAATAAAACTTCTTGATAAAGAAGATGAGCAAATGATCAAAGTGATCATAATAAGGAGGCAAGTGATCTAGAAAATCATATGACATAACACTTCATAAAGTCTCATGAGAGATTCAGATACCTGAATATATGAATGAAGAGATCTCTATGTTATGTTTTTATGAAAAAATATTGGAATTGTTATAAAATGTTCGTCGACGACATCTATCATAGCGCTAAGTATAGATGCGGATCTTAAGTCTATCGAATATAGACACAAAAGTATTGTCCAAATGGAAGAGACACAATTCAAGTAGAATTGATTCCATATGAAAGACATATAGTTTTGGACCTGTAGTTCAAACACTTGAAAGTATAAAGTCAATTATATGTGCAATTAGTTTTCGATATCTTATATGTCTAGCATGACATGAAAACTTGATATGCATCCAAAGTCTCTTTAGATGGCTTATATGACTTAACTTATATGACAATCCATGAAGGATTTAAACTGCTTAAAGCATATACAATTCTTGATCTTGAAGTACTACTTCCTCAGTGCAATTTGTGCACAAATGTATCTTGCTATAACTATAAGCATGATAATGTGATAGCGAGAGTACCTCTATGGAAATATTGAAAAGGCCATTCTACGGAAATTTATGAAGACATTACATCTCTATCAAGAATGATGATTTCAAGATGCAATATATTCATTCAAGTTAATATGGTTGATTTGTTTATCAAGTCTCTACCAAAGATTGTTTGAAGATGGTGCACAAGATTGGAATGCAAATGCTTAAAGATGTGAATTGATGCTCTCATCAGGGGGAGTTAATGTGCGTTGTACTCTTTTTTCCTTATAAGGTTTTTGTCCCACTGAGTTTTCCTTGCAAGGTTTTTAACAAGGCAACCAAACGGCGTATTATTAGATATGTGTACTCTTTTTTCCTTTTCTAGAATTTTTTTCCCATTGGGTTTTATTTTAGATAAGGTTTTAACGAGGCACATTACTTATCAAGTAGATATTCAAGGGGGAGTGTTATAAATAGAATTCTATTTATGGTGAATGTCCATATTTAGAGAGATTCTAGGGTTTATTACTTGGTGACTAAGTCAACCTCTCCCTATAAATAGAGGGTCCTATTTCATTGTAAATCATCCCAAAATCAATAAGAATTCTCTCTCCCTACTTTTCTATGCAATACTATTCTTCTTCTTTTATTGTTTCATAACTTTAAATAAGTAATTGATACTTATCACAATTTTTTCAATCTCATACATTTTAGATGTAATTTTCATTTTATTAACACACAAACCACTTATTGGAGAAGAGAGTGCATATGAAAGGTAAATTGAGATTACACGCATAAAAAATAACTACACACATGAAAACTATTTTGGTGCACTATATAAAATTATCACTTAGTTGAGATACACTTCATTAGATCATAGCTCCTAAAATTAAAATAGTAAAATATCATATTTATTAATTAAACTTTAATTGTTAGTTTTCATAAGATCAAACGATATTCAATCATTTTAACCTCGACAAGGAAATTTACCTACGATGATCCACATTGACTTTTTTACAAATATTTATACTTTTTTCTTTCATGTTTAATTATTTACTCAAAATATTATTTTAATAACACTTATATTATTTTATAAAACGAGAAACAAGTATAACATACCATGTGTCAGTGTTTGGATAAAATCGTCGCGAATCAAATACCACTGCACTATATTTGTGGAAAACCAACCGCCCTTATTTATGAAAGCAAAAAAAAGAGGAGTTAACATAAAGGTAAATAAAAAAATGTTAGTACTTCTGCCTGGAAGAGGTTTGTCCAAATTCCTTTCTTCAGAAAATTTTTTATTTATACTTTTATATTTTATATTTTAAATTTATTGGTACATTTATATTTTATATTTTGAATCCCCGCTGACCTCTCTGCTATTCCAATTTTCAGTTCTTACTTTTTCTACTGTTCATGTCAGTATTCTATTTCTTTGATTTGATGAACCGTATATTCTTACACCATAAAATGAAATCGAAAGGCAAAATACATAAGTTGTCACCCGAATTATGACCCAAATCTCTGTTACACATTTTCTAGGAACGAATATTATTTTACACACCCAACCTTTCCAAAGTGTATCTAAGACACACCATTTTTTTCTTAACCAGTTTTTTAGAATATGTGCAATATCACGCACCAATCAAATAGTGACACGTGTCATTTTAAGAAATTTTTTTTTTAAAAAAATTACAATTATACCCCTCATCTTCCTCATCTAAACTACCATGGCCGTCTTCCTCCTCTCTCACCATCAAACACCATAGCTTCTTTCTCCACCTTTTACTTAATAACAAAGCCACCATTAATTAACAAAAATCACCAGAAAACACACCCAAAACTCCATCTTTTCCGCTGAAATTAAATCAAAATTTTTGAGCCCAGATCCAACTCATTTTTCATTTCACTTCGGTAAAAGTTCGACCGCCATTAACTGCCATCGCCACAAGTCAACTATTTAAAAATCATCCATTAATAAAACTAAAGAATGTGCAAAATCTTGAGCTAAGCATGGTTGGAAAAAATTTCGAAAAATTCTCGCTTCCTAAAAATTTGACTTCGCCATGGGTAAAACTCAAGTTAAGCTTCTCTACAACGAGAAGAGATATAAGAAATCGTGGTATATCTATTTGAGAAGAAAGAGATCAGGTGGTGGAGCTCAAGGAGTAGCTATGACAGAATTTTTAAAAAGGAAGAAGATGACTCAATTTAAAATTTTTAAAAACTAAAAAAAAATTGACATCTCACACAAAATTCTTTTGTTCACGCGACCCATTTGTTGGGAAAAACACGCACTATCCACGTGGGCAAAGCAGTGTGTATTAGATACACTTTAGAAAGTTTGAGTGTGTAAAGTAATATTTGTTCCTAGAAAGTGTGTAGCAGGGATTTGGGTCATAGTTCGGGGTAACTTATTTATTTTGCCAAACCGAAATAAAAGATTGAACCATAATTTATACCATCATTTCTTCTTTTCCTTGCTTCTAATTTATTCTCATTTTATACGTAACTAAAGCCCAAAAACATTAAATAGAACACACTTTCTCTAGTCCTCTTATTATTTCACTTCATATATTTTTATTTTGCATATTTAGAATCTCCTTTCACCAACTTATACCATATTTTCGGCCATACTTTTCCGAAATAAAACTTACATGAAATTTGTTTAACTTCGATCACCCAAAACACAGGAGAAAATATAGTTTCCATTTCACAATTTTCTTTTCCATATTACATAAGTTTAAAAACAAAAGGACATTATTAACCATAATAAAATACCAAACACAACGCACTCCATTTATTAATAATCCCACAAAATATCACTACCAGTGCCTTCTCTTCTTCTCACTCTTCAAACGCAGAAACCGGGAAAGCCTTAGAAATTCCAGTAGGGGTAGCAAAAGTAATTTTCTGAAACTCCGGGTCCTGAATATAAATATAAGAAATAGTAACCCAAATCAAAATCTCCTTACTTTTAACCCCGGTGAGTTTCTTCATCCGGCGATCTTCAATAAACGCCGTGACTTCAGTGTCGTACCACACGAGTTTCCCGATTTTCTTGAACCGGTGTTCTTTTGCCTTCTTCTGTTTCAGCCATACGAACCCGGTTTGATGATTCCGGCCCACCTCGATTAGATCGTCTAATGGGAGTAGTCCTTTTGGCATGTTGTTTTGCTCGAGAAGTTCGAGAGATTTCTGCTTGCAGATCGCTGGGTCAGTGAATACCTCTGCGTTTTCTCTGTGATTTTCGGTTACTTGAGATGACATTTTCGTGAATGCAAATGAAAATGGAAAGGAAATGGGAATTAGATTTCTTTTGGTTTGGGGTTCTGTGTGAGAGAGAGTGGAAATGAGAAACATACGAAGGGAGTTTTTGTATTGTTAGGGGATCATGGGATTGATACTGTTTTATAGGGAGAAGTGAGGTGAGATTACGAAAATACCCTTTGTATTGAGGTCTCAAGTGTAAAATACATATGGATTACTTTTGAAATTTAAGAACTCTCCTTTTTCTTTTCCTTTTTAACTTTTATAAAATTCATAGTAAATTCTGCATAACCCCATTAACATAACTTTGTGATCCAAAACGTAACAACTAAATTGATGCCGTGGGATTGTTACGTATACGTTATTTTGATTTTTAATTTTTCCTGATATTATTTTTACTTTATTCTTTACACTATTTTGGTTAAGTGGACGATGTATAGCCAACATAGGATCAAGTGGGGAGCCTTGACGGAAGCTAAAACACAAGAGTTGGGGGTCAAGCTGGTGACTATGGGGGCTTGGAGGAGTAGTGGGGACGCAAGCGCTATGTCGACCACGACTGCGCAGTGCATTAGTGAAGCCGCAAGAGAGGTATTAGGGGTCTCAAAGGGTTATCCTGGTGCTCACAAGGGAGACTGGTGGTGGAATGGAGTGGTGCAAGGAAAAGTGAAAACGAAGAAAGCAACGTATCTGAAGCTAGTGAAAAGTGTAGACGAGGAGGAGAAGAGGGCAAATAGGGAGCATTATAAGTTGGCTAAGAAAGAGGCAAAGTTAACAGTTACGGCGGCCAAGACTGCAGCTTTTAGTCATTTGTATGAGGAACTCGAGGGCCGAGGTGGGGATAAGAGGTTGTTCAAGTTAGCTAAGGCACGAGAAAGGAAGGCGCGTGACTTGGACCAAGTGAAGTGCATCAAGGACGAAGAAGGTAGAGTTTTGTTGGATGAGACGCTTATCTGTTGGAGATGACAGACCTACTTCCACAGTCTCTTGAACGAGGAGGGGGACATGAGCACTTTCCTGGGTGATTTGGAACTCTCCGGGAATCGTTGTGGCTTTGGGTACTGTAGGCGGATTAGAGTTAATGAAGTTGAGGGGGCTATACATGAGATGAGCAGGGGCAAAACGATCGGACCGGATGAAATATCGGTAGAGTTTTGGAAGGGTGGGGGCAAGGCAGGCTTGTAGTGGCTCGCTAAGTTATTTAATGTTATTTTTAGAATGAAGAATATGCCCAAAGAGTGGAGGTGGAGCACAATGATTCCTGTATACAAGAACATGGGTGATATCCAAAATTGAAATAACTATCGGGTTATCAAGCTACTTAGCTATACTATGAAAGTTTAGGAGAGAGTGGTAGAGCTAAGGGTAAGGAGGAATGTGTCTATTTCTGAGAACTAGTGTTGATTTATGCCGGGGCATTCGACTACAGAAGCTATCTACCTTGTTAGGAGATTGATGGAGCAATATAGGGAGAGAAAGAAGGACTTGCATATAGTGTTCATCGACTTAGAAAATGCATACGATAAAGCTTCGAGGGAGGTTTTGTGGAGATGTTTGGAGGCTAGAGGTGTACCTGCTACCTATGTTAGATTGGTTAAGGACATGTATGATGGAGTAAAGACACGAGTGAAGATGTTTGGAGGCTAGAGGTGTACCTGTTGCCTATGTTAGATTGGTTAAGGACATGTATGATGGAGTAAAGACACGAGTGAAGATGTTTGGAGGCTAGAGGTGTACCTGTTGCCTATGTTAGATTGGTTAAGGACATGTATGATGGAGTAAAGACACGAGTGAAGATGTTTGGAGGCTAGAGGTGTACCTGTTGCCTATGTTAGATTGGTTAAGGACATGTATGATGGAGTAAAGACACGAGTGAAGATGTTGGGTGGGGACTCAGACCATTTTTCGGTTATGATCGGGTTGCATCATGGGTTGGCACTCAGCCTTTGCTTTGGTAATGGATGTACTCACGCGCCACATCCAAGGGGAGGTGCTGTGGTGCATGCTATTTGCAGATGATATTGTATTGATTAACAATATGCGAGATGGTGTGAATGCGCAATTAGAGGTATGGAGGCAGACCCTGGAATTCAAAGGTTTCAAGTTGAGCAGGACCAATACAGAATACTTGAGTGTAAGTTCAATGGCGAGACTCAAGGAGGGGAAGGGGATGTGAGGCTGGACTCACAGGTCATCCATAGGAGAGTGAGTTTTAAGTACCTTGAGTCTATTATTCAGGGGTATGGGAAGATTGATGAAGATGTCACACGTCGTATTGCGCGAGATAGATGAAATAGAGACTCGCCTTCGGTGTTTTATGTGATAAGAAGGTGCCACCGAAACATAAGGGTAAGTTCTACAGAGTGGTGGTCAAACCAACAATGTTGGGACTGAGTGTTGGCCAGTCAAGATCACTTATGTCAAGAAATCGAAGGTAGCATAGATGAGGATGTTGAGATGGATGCGCGTGCACACCAGGTTAGATAGAATCATAAATGAGGTTATTCACGACAAGGTGGGTATGGCCCCTATTGAGAACAAGATACGGGAAATGCGGCTTAGATGGTTTGGTCATGTGAGAAGGAGGAGCACAGACCCCCCCCCCCCCCACCTGTGAGGAGGTGTTAAAGGTTGACATTGGAGGGCCCACGGAGAGGTAGAGGTAGGCCAAAAAAATGTGGGGAGAGGTGATTAGGCAAGACATGGTGCAACTTCAGCTGACCGAAAACATGAACTTTCATAGGAAGGTATGGAGGTCGAAGATTAGGTTAGTAGAGTAGGTATCTAGAGTGTTCATAATAGTAGTATAAACACGCAGTCTCACTTTCTGTTGGTAGTAGGTTTTTATGACTAACCGTTGTTTTCTTTCATTGTGGATCACCTTACTATCTTGTTGTTTTTATTATGCTTTTATATGTCTTTTTGTTACTGTCCCTTCTTGTCTATTGTGAGCACGTGATTTTTTCCCCATATATGAATTACTCCCAAAAAATTCAAAATAAAACAATTTTTTGTTTGTTTGCAATTGTTGTGAATTTTGTGTTATTTTTCTTGTATTGTTTGCATTTGTCTGTGCATGTTTATTTTCTAAATTAATAAAAATACAAAAATATGTCGCATTTGCATTTAGGATTTAAGTTTGCAATTATGAGTAATTAAGTTTGTTTTACAAGAATGAAAATTACAAAAATAGGCATCTTTTGCATTTTTTGCCTTTAATGTCCAAATTGTGTGATTGTATTTTAATTGTCATTTCATTTTATGTGATAATTATTATTAGGAGTTAATTAGTGTTTTTAAGTCAATTTGGTTTTATAAATTTAATTTAGGATTTTAGGTTTGTAATTGTTGAAAATTAGTTTTAAAAAAAAAAGGATAAAAGAAACAATTGAAATGAAGAACAAATTCGGAATTGGGCCCATTTTCAATAAAACCAACTAGGCCCAAATACCCCCCACCCCCCTTCGCGTGGTCTTGTCCAAACGACCCCTTTCCCTATTGTTCTTCTTCTTCAACACAAAACACAACAGAACCCTAGGCACGCTCGAACCCAGCAACCTTACTTCAATCGCGACACACAAAACACAGTCACACACACAACCATATACAGAGAGAAGAGGGGTTGCTCACAAAAGAAAATCTCTCAGTCCCTAGGAGTCGCTGCTGATGCGTAGCCGTAATCTATGACGGGGTGACCAGCGATGACCTTTCTCCTCCTTCAGTTTTCACTGTTATTTTTATTCGCCCACGACCAGCTGCTCCGCCAAGCAACCATCCATGAACGTCGCCTCCATCGCCCAAACCAGTAGCAACTCCGTCGACCACCCTTGCTGCTTCTTCTTCTTCGTCCAGCAGCCATGAACGACCAGTGAAACAACTATCGCTGCTGCTGCTTCTTCTTCATCCCCATAGGTCCCAAACGACCATCTGCTAAATAACCATAGTCCGTCGAGCTCCAACCTCCCATGGCTGCTGTTTCTTCTGCCCCGTCTTCATCTTCTTCGACGAAGCGTCGAACCATCGTCAAACCCAGCCCGCCATGGATGCTGCTACTCAACACACACACACACGACCTCCTTCAACAGCCTTCCACGACCCACGCACACACATGGATAGAGCAGCAACAAGAGGTCATTGAAACAAAGTGAGAGATAGACAGAGGAAAAGAGAAGCAGTCCGGTTAAAGTCCGGCGAAGTTCTGTCAAGGTCTCGTTTGGTTTTGTTTGAGTCCGTCGTTGTTCGTCGTTCGGTGAGGTCCAGTCTAAGTTCGTCGAGGTTAAAAGAGAAGGTGGGTTTTTCGTTGAGTCGAGATCCGGTACGTCGAGGTTGCTGTTCGAGTTTTTCATTTCCGTTCGAGTTCGTCGTTGTTCATTTCCGGTTAGTTGGTTTAAGTTTCATTTCTGTCCGTACTTTGCTTGATATTCTCGGATTTGAAATCAGTATATGTTTGATTCTTTTCTTGTTCGTTGTTTATCACTTCTTGATTATTTCTTCAGTTTGTTTTATGTTCTTGTTTAGTTTTAATATAGAAGTGTTTAGTTTAATCATGTTGTTAGATTTAATTTAAAGTTCAATTGATTATTGAGTTTAGTGATTTGAATCTACTTGTTGGTTATGTTCAATTTGTTACTGTTATTGAATCTGAAAGTATGTTTGTTGTTAAAAATATTGTTCAGTCAAAAATATTGAGTTTCTAGCCTAAATTTGTTGATGAAATTTGATTAGGAATTGGTTATAGCTGCTGTATTTTGGTTAGATTGATTAAGTGAATTGGTTATAGCTGATGGGGTAGAATGGTAATTTTAGTAGTTTCAGGGGCATTTTCGGGATTTTATGTTTTAGCAATTGATTAATTTGAGTGTTCTGTCCACTAAGCGCTAATATATTAAAATAATACATAAAATAATACGTAGTGGAGGACAAGACATAATGATGGGGAATTAATATATTTGTTTAATATAGTGGGGGACAAAGCATGCGGTAGTGGGGAATAATGGAAT